TTTCTAATTCAATCTTTTGTAGTTAATAAAAGCAATAAAAAACACAAAGAGTTAATACAGACAAGAAAATTAATAAAACGAAACTTCAGAAAACAATTGTAACATCAATATCAAAAATCAACGATAATTAAAGTAGCTCAAATTCAAAATGAATCAACTGGTACACTCATCCATGTCGTGTGTTATATATCTTTATCTATAGAGCTGCTGGAAACGTGCATATTCTTGTCAGTGTATTCCTTTCAGCATAACCGCAGCATACTCATTTCAGCATAACCGCAGCATATTCGTTTCAGCATAACCGCAGCATATTAGTTTCAGCATAACCGCAGCATATTTGTTTCAGCATAACCGCAGCATATTCGTTTCAGCATAACCGCAGCATATTAGTTTCAGCATAACCGCAGCATATTAGTTTCAGCATAACCGCAGCATATTCGTTTCAGCATAACCGTAGCATATTCGTTTCGGCATAACCTCAGCATATTCGTTTCGGCATAACCGCAGCATATTCGTTTCAGCATAACCGTAGCATATTCGTTTCGGCATAACCGCAGCATATTCGTTACGCAACTTGCATCCCATTACGGCTTGTCCGCAAGCCCTAACTTCGCTCAACTTGCAGTGACAGCCCAAGGGTTGCATTCAACAAAATACTAACGATGGTTAAGTTCTGAGATGATCCCGATTCCGTAACCTTACCTACAATTGGCACTTGGACTTACCATTCTAATGCCGATTGTGTTCTATATTAATTAGGAAGATTAAATATGCATGGTAATAAGATGCTCAGCAATGTGCTTACTTGAACGCATGTGATAAGGAATTGGTTCATGTTGAACTAATTCGAAATTGAATTCATTCGACTTTATCACTCCAACCGAAAGTTCTAAGTCTGCGCAGTCTAATAAAATTTTCAATAGAAATTAAAGGCAATAAAGTAAAACAAAACCTCATTCAAAATTTCGTCGTTAGAATTCTATGCAGGCGGTGATATGGCATTGGTAATTCATTTTTACTCATTTTATTTGTCACTATAAATATTTTTTTCCGATTTCTGGATTGCATCTCCTTTGCTGCATCTCTATCTCATGACTGCCGAACGCACCGGACCGGCACTTCTCCGATCTCGGCTGCGGTATCAAAATCGTCTGCACAGCTGCCCAAACCATAACAACTTCAATTATGAACAAATCTGCTTGAAATTCAGAATATAACTAGTTATTAGAATGCGGCGGGGGAGGAATTAGTACAGATTTACACTTCATTACGTTTTTGATGGAAACGAAACTTTAAAAAAATTAGGCGAGGTTCAGATTGGTAAAGAAACTGTCGACCGGCGGTAGAGAACACGGACCAATATCTGCCATACTTAGCGAGAAACCCGCTATGGGCCCATGACCCGCAGTGGGCTCGCTGCCCCATGTTACCCTATAAGTTCACATTTATTCCCACAAATTCACTCTTCGTGTTTAAAAGAAGAAATTAATCAATCGCATCAAAATTAAATGCAGTTAATTGTTATATGAACTTTCATACCTTAGCTGTCTAACTTTTCTACTGAACGTTGATCCACAATGCGACGTATTACGTCGCTAAGCGACGTGTTACGTCGCTTACGACTGTCGTACCGCGTAGGTCTAATGAAGCGAGGACGCTTCTACAGCGTAGGGGGGACGTGTCAGGCCGTGATGTCATTGTCGCTAATGACATCACGGCCTGACAGTAGCTGTAATCTCTACTCTTCAAATGATGTCTCACGTTCTGCACGGCCGTTTAAAAATTGTCGACATTGTTGCGTTCGAAACCTGGAGAACGAGCCGGCCCGTGGCCGTGGTCGTCACGACGTCTGTGGAGCAGTCGTTGGTCCTTGGTTTCAGAGTGAAATTTAGCTCGGTCTATAAGCAGCCACCTTGCAAACATAGTTATATCCCTCAGAGTAGACGCCAAATTTATCAATTTATAGAATTTCGTGCGCGATAATCTCGTAAACGTTCGATCTAAACAAACTGGATCACCGGCTTGAAATAATGCGGTCTTTCACTAACACTACATAGAATGAATCCAAATTCCTAAACATCTTATTACCTACACCCAAACTTCCATTAATAGACATAATTTTGCTATTTCCTAACATTCATTCTTAATATGTAGAACTGGCTGTGCTTTCCGTGTACATTTAAATTAACACTTGATCAGTATTTAAATCGGTTGATAAATGATAATTAATAAGTATATCCAGCGCTGTCAGACTATATCGAGCGATTAATGAAGATAAGCTATCGGTATAAAAATTTCAACTGTTTGATTTACAAAAATCACGTTGTTTCCTTTGTTTGATCTTTTTTATGTGTAATTTTACTCAAAATATCGTTTTATTGATGTTTTATGATAATTATTTATAATCTCCATATATTCAATAAATATTTCTCGATATAATCATCCTGTGAGAAAGGTGAGGAAGTGAGCGAAAAATTGATACAAAAAAATGTCTAGTTTATACATTTTATTATTCTACGTTTTTTTCACTAATACATCATGTCCGCAATAATGGACTTATCAAAAAACAGGCGAGGTGTAGTCCGTCAAGTAGGTTTGATATATTATGTACGCCTGCGGTGTATGAGCTGTAAATGCGTGATGTAGGGCACGAAGTCACGAACATAAAGCTTAAATCAAGTTATGTTTCAGCTTAATTTTATTCTATTAGGTGCACTACATACTGAAATAAATATGCATATTCAGGAGTAAAATAGAGCTATGTGTNACCAGTCCCTGTCTCTTATACACATCTAGATGTGTATAAGAGACAACATATACGTATATGTGAGCTACACAACTCTGTGATTTACAGATACTGGATAGTTGCCAGCGCAGCAGTGCCTATCAATACGCTGTTGCCAAGTGTTTCATGTTAACATTGCCTTTAAGTTTAATAAAAAATATTGGTTCAAATAATGAATAAGTGAGAGTTTAACACTAAGACTAGAGCTATCCAGTCATTTTTGGCACTGAAGGATTCCCACTACCCTCAATTAAAGTGGTAAACAAGGGATTTTTTATACTCTGTTCAGTTTAAATTGGCTTTAGCTGATTTAGTTGAAAATTTTGTTCAGTATCCTATTGGACAAAATACTGGGAACAGAGATCTCCAAAGCCAAAGTAGAAAATTAGCAGAAGCCAACTGGGAATCTAACAAAAAGGCCTGTGATTCTGGCCAATTTTACACTTTCACTCTGTGCCTAGAAGGGGTTGTGTGCAAGGAAGAGTTTTTTTACATATGCCATTTGCCAGGAATAAAAGTTGTTTTGATTATTTACACCAACCTAAGCATGCTATAAAATGAAAGTAGCACAGTTACAATAAGACACCCAGTCTCTTGGGTGGCTTGCGTACACTGAATCCCTAGATGAAATCACCAATGATGTCATTAATTGATGGTATCATTATCATTCTCCAAGAGACCAGTGTATTCTATAAATTTTACTCTGAAAAAGCTTGTAGACTCTTTATGTTTTGGATTGCATTGGAGTTATTGGAGTAACAACTGTGACATTGAACAGCCGTTTGTCCGACCACCAGAGACAAACTCACAACCAGACCAGGTCTCAAAGCATTACAAAGAAGCAACTTCATCTCAAAATCATTGTTGAATTCAACAGGCTCTGTGACACCCTCAACAACAAGGTCAAACTTCAAACTAAATGCAACAATGGCCCCTGCAAAAATGCAGGATTTAACAAAGAGGATGGTGTAGTCTATAAATTTTATTCAAAGATGGTTGTAAACTTCATGATTTTGGACTACATCAGACAAATTGGACTAACAACAAGGACACTGAACTGCTGTCTCATCAACTACCTTCAAACTAGAGGACAAGTGAACCACATGTGACGAGCTCACAACCAGACCATGACTCTCGATGTACCGGAAGGACCCACCAGCATTGTGATCAAGCAGTGGCCTGACAACAACTGACCAATGATAGCTGAACCTCTCATCACAACAGAGTGGACTCCAACTATCTGTCTCCTAACTACTGGACTTTTCTGAACTCTGACAGAGTTTTCAGAGTGATTTTTCTGGTTCAAAATTTTACTGTTGTGTTGTATCCTATTTATTATATAATGCACTTATTTCCACCAAAATTGTAATAGTTAATGCTTCTTGTAACTTGAAAATGAATGCTTGTTGCATTTTACATGTTGTTAATAAACTAAAACTACTTCCTGCAACATGCCTTTTGATCTACCAACATCATCTGAAGTAGTACCTAGCTATTGTTCCTCTTTCTGATAATTTAAATCATCAAATTCTCTGGTCAGTAGTCACACATATATGATTATACATAGCTCCTTATATGCCAGGATGTACCAGTGAGGCTACACCTACACTTATAGCCTCATGTATGCCAGATTAATTAATAGAAAACAGCACCATTGGGACTTTGGCATACCTATGGCGTGTACCCAGTGAAATAAAGGCCTATTGTTAATTGTAATTTTTAAAATCACTCACGAAATTGGCATTTTTACTCACAATTTAAAAAATTTTCCACTTGATGTTGGTTCTAAATTGGCTCCACATTGGCTGTGGATTCCACAGGAAGCTCAACAAAAAACTTCCTCATTTGCCACCATGCTTTCAGTGCCAATATGTTTATATTGCCACAGTTCTTAAGTTGCCGGCCTTCAATAGAAATGATCTATTTTATGATTAACACTGAACAAGATCTTTCCAGAGCAATCAAAAAGATTCTAATTACTAAATGGCAATTGAACCCTCCAAATTGTAGTTCTGACTGGTATTATTCAGTTGTTAGTGATAGATGGCAGGGCATGTGCAATTTTTGCTTAGTGGAAATTGACAGTAGATGAATTACCTCCTATGTGATTGTTAACATCCAATTTTCCAATCTTGATTGCAACACGCAGCTTCTAGGTGAATAGCCATAGCTATCTGTAATTTATTGACAAGAATTTTACTCTCTTGCAGGAATTTATACACTTGATGTGATGATTTAGGTGAAAATAGTATGTGCAGTTATCAATTGGATAATTATTTCAGCATGATATAATATTGCCAATGGCTGAGTCTGCAGGTCTGCCACCAGAGCTCCGCCCCACATGCAGGATGTTGCTGAGGGGCAAAGGAAGTGTTGATCGCACTGCATCTCTTCCAAAATTGGAGAGGTAATCACCATTCTAATGTTCAACTGTAATGTAGTTTTTTTTTTACTAGTAAATTTTTCCTCTTCCGTGCATTTAGTAAATATGGCTTACTGGATTGTTGACCCTGTAAATTATTATCTCTCAAAAAATTTTGTGCACTGATATAATGTAAAAATATATTTTATCAATTAATCTTCATAAAGCACTGTCTTGTCCACAGCTTTGACAACTCCCATGATAGCTCCTTCAGTCGCACTTGCTCAGTTCGCCTCCCCGGGGACCGCAACTCTCGAGTGTTTCGACCTACTGACCTCACAACTGGGGAGCTGCTGGGCAAAGGTTTCTTTGGCCAGGTATTCAAAATGTTGCTTAAATTCAAGAATTCAATATTTTTAAAACTGTAATCATATATGTATTTTGCTTCTGAGTGCACTACTATAGTGGGTTGTGTGTAAAATTTGTTAATGTTTTTTTTTTTTATACTGCTGCCACCTTAGCCTTTGTGTACAACATTTTTGTGTATAAAGTCTAGCGTGTGCGACATGCTAAGAAATCCTCTTTCACTAAAATGGTTTCAGCAATTTTATGACATGACTTGTGTAAAATAATTTGAATTTTTTAAACCAACTTAGTTGGTTTCTTTTCAAGATCATTTAAAAACTATTTTGGTTTTGTTTCAGGCTTTCAAGGTGACTCACAAAGTAACTGGTGAGGTGTTTGTCCTCAAAGAACTCTATCGTGTTGATGAGGCTGCTCAAAAGGCCTTCCTAAAAGAGGTCAGTGATGAACTCTTGTTGAACTCCACATTCACATCTCAAAATATTCCATGATTTTTCTGGGATTTTGCCTGGCTCTTATTGAACCCCATTCACCTTTAAATATCCTCCATGCTTGTGTGTTGGCTGCAAATGTTTTCCTTAGTCTATGTAATATTATAGAGGTTTTCATGGTCAAAGCCATCTGTAGATGACATGAAATGGAATACAAAATTTATTTCTAATCACCTGCATTGATGCATGTTTGATAAAAAATTTTCTAATTCAGGTTGCGTTACTTCGTAGTGTTTCACACCCAAACGTGCTGCAATTCTGTGGCATCGTTTATCAGAACGGCTCCCTACACTTGATCACAGAACACATAGCAGGCGGGACGCTACAGAGCATCATAAGAGAGAGCACTGATGAGTCTCTGCCGTACAAGAGGCGAATGGCGTTCACTCGCGATATCGCTGCTGGTATGGACTACTTGCATCTCAGAGGCATCATCCATCGAGATCTCAATTCCCTCAACTGTCTTGTCCGAGCTGTGAGTTCTGTCTATAGACTCTAGGTTATATATTATGTAATATATTATTTATGTGTCCATGTATATTGCCTCAAGCATATTGTCTGATAGAGCGGGACAATGTGACATTGGTGCACGCAACTGAATTATTAAATGTGCCACCTTGCTTTCATGTTGAAATTATTAATTACATGAATGTTAGCCCGGCTTGTCATTGGATCAATTATCCTTGCAATCTTAAAACCCTAAATACCATCATTACAAATGTCATTAATAATGTAATGTACTTATATTAATTTAAGAAAAACCCATCCAAACCATTTTACAAAGAACCTAATTTGACTCTTTTGCCAAAATGTAGAAAATTATCGTTCGTATTCAAAACTCTATTTATAAGTACAGATTTAATATCTAAGAACAAATTTTTAGTCCGATCGATCCTTTCCTCGCGGACTCGAACTAAGAATAAATTTCTCCCACTAAAAGTAAATTTTCAGGTCCAGTCATTATCCCGACACGATAAGTATCCTGGATACGCACCTCAACAGCCACTACTATATTTATGCGATGCTAGTCGTCTTATCCACATACAGATAAAAAATAGACAGAGGCATACGTATGTATATTAGATGAATGCGATTGAATTGAGCAGTCACCATTTCTTTATTATTGAGACAACTAATGTTCCTAGTACTGTATTGTGAGATGTTCTTTATAATTATGGCAGTTTGCCAGCATTACATCATATTAAAAAGAACACCATAACTTTCTCTTTCTTTGAACGATTTTTAACTTGTTTGAACGCAATTATTATTCAGTATGAAGTATTTCTCGTTATTTCAAAATCAAAGCAAGTTCAATTTAGAGTATACAGTCAAATAAATGTCACTGAATACACTAACATTCTTAATTTATTTAAACATTGTAAAATTTTTGCAGAATGACAGTGTAGTTGTCGCGGATTTCGGACTAGCACGCATACTGCGAGAGCGCAACTGGAGTGTAGAGCGCAAAAAATTCGTTGCCAAGACAGGCGCAATAAACGGTGGCAAGGGGGCCAGTCCCGGCCAAGGACTCAAGAAGGCGCGCAAGAAGCGCTACACGGTTGTGGGCAACCCATACTGGATGGCGCCTGAAATGATAACTGGCAACAAATACGACGAGAAAGTCGATATTTTCAGTTTTGGGATCATCATGTGTGAGGTATGAATTACTGATACGCACTTCTCTTGCGTACTTCAGGTATTTTGTTTTAGTATTAGATGGCAGAATTTACTTCTTTATACACGTGCGATTGAGGACCAGAGAATTTGTTGATTTATATTATCAGGGAGTGGAACTTTTCTTCAGATGACGGTAGATGACGGTAGGTAGATTCATGTCACTGGATCCGGTTTGTCATGGACACTAAGGCACGAAATTTTATTAGCAATTCTATTATTCATCGAACTATGAAGATAATATAAATCAACAAATTCTCTGGTCATCAATCGCACTTGTATATTGTTTTCTGCATGCATATGATTTCTTTTAGTTATATGTTATTGATGTTGCATGTTTCTATGGCCTTATTGAGGATTGTTACTTACATACCTATTTTGATTGTTGTTGATCCTAATACGTACAATGATGTGGATGGAACATGCATGCATATTCTTTGGATATAGTCTTGGGTATATAATTTGGTCTTATTTTTCGTAAGATCTATAATTATGTGTGGGCTTCCAGCCGGTTCTCGACCCTAATATCACCATCTGTGCAATCTTGAATTCAATGAGTTATTTCTTCAGAGAAAAACTATATAATTGTACCTTCAACGGCCATCGTAAATCTGGAGTTCATAAATTTTGGATCACTAAAATTCATGTCACTGGATCCTGTTTGTCCTGGACACTAATGCACGAAATTTTATTATCAATTCTATCATTCATCGAACTTTGAAGAATGTTCAAATTCAATGAAATTCCAAAAACACTGTGAGTACTAATATATACCATTAGTCTGCTTGAATTGCAAGTTTACCAAGAATTTAAAAGCCAAGAAAACGGCAAGTAAATTCAACATGTCTCCTTGACATGTTGTAGGTTCGTTGCATTTTCTTCGCTTTTAATTCCTTGCTTAACAATGTGCAGTTAATCAGTCGCGTGGACGCCGACCCCGACGTTATGCCTCGCCTCCACAACTTCGGTCTGGACGTGTTCGAGTTCCGGGCGCAGCATTGCTACGAGTGTCCCGAGGCGCTGTGGCGGATAGCCTTCCTGTGCTGCTCCCTGGACCCCGACCATCGACCCTCTTTCTCACAGATCCTCCAGTGGCTCGATGCTCTGGTGCTCGACGCCACCGTTGGACGCACCAAGTCTCAAAGTCTTCTGCAGGAAATAGAGACTTTTGAAGAAGGTCGGTGTGAGCAGGAAAAACAAGTCCAGAAAAGTGTGAGCAGGAATCGTTTCTAGCCCTAAGCAAAGATTTTAAAAGGAAATTTTTTATTCCTGTATCTGTGTCCTAAATTATGTATTTGATGTTGCTTTGTATTCTGAGAGACTATTTGATTGTTTGTGTATATTTTAAACGCAAGATTTTCCAGGCATCCAGCTGGAGAGCAGCGGAAGCAGCAGCAGCCCCGAGTGCGGCGTGTCATCCGAGGCGTCCACCCCTGACCCCGCCACCGCTCGTCCTATGCTGCCCTTCCTCCGCACCATCAGCGAGACCCTTCCATGCAAGACTGCTCTCGCCAACGGCTCTTCTTCTGATGTTATTCCGCTTGCAGCTGAAGAGTCGCTATCGTCTTCGAATCATATTGGCTCCTCAGAAGTCATTCCACCGCAGTCTGGAGATTCATCATCTTCTCCGAATCATTTCAGCTTTTCTGAAGTCATTCCACTGCAATCTGGTGATTCATCATCGTCTTTGAATCATATTGGCTCCTCAGAAGACATTCCACCTTTAAACATAGATTCGTCATCGCATTCACACCACATTAGTTCGTCTGCAACTGACTCGTCAGGAATGATCAATCCTCAAACTTTTCCAATTAGCTTAGAAAATTTGCCTCCGAATATTTGTTGCTCAGAAATTACCTCACTAAATTCGGAAGATGAGATATCGGATGCAATTCGTGGGTGTTCGTTTGAAAATTTCTCGCAACATACATCCAATTCTATACGATTAGCAGATGAGACCGATAATACAGCATCATTTCCAAAGAAGAGAAATGAAAATAATTGTGACCACTCAAGTCCAAAGTCACTCAAAGAAACAATGAATGCTTCCAGAACTGCAAACAAGCCTTCTGATAGTTTATTGTGCAATTCAGCGCATTCTCATGGAAAAATATTAGAAGAAAATAATCAAATAGGCCATGCAGTATCAACAATGTATCATGGACACGATCTTGTATTGGATTCATGTTCTCCTGTTCTCATGAACAAAATTACTCAGCACAATCCCTTAAGATGTTCACGCGGAGAAGACACTGGGGACGGTCATCGTTTATTTTGTTCTTCTACGGGAAATCGCAGCATTTCCGCCATCACCAACCAACCCAGTGCTGAGTGCTCTATAAATTCAGTTATTTCAAGTGACTTCTCACTGGCAGTTCCTATAAAAAGCAATACTGTTGACCACAGCGCTACTTGTGGCTCTGAAATGTCACGATGTCTTCCATCATCGTCGTGTAGAGTAAGTGATGATAGTCGGGATGTTCCTCCACTTGAAATAACATCTCGTGATTTTTCTCGGTCTTCTGATTCAGACCAATCCGCTACTTACTGTATGCCGTGCCAGGAATTTCCTTTCCTCTCGAATGACTTACATTCCAATGAGATAAATGAAAGATTGTCTAAGAAGGGATACGGAGAGATAGATTGGTATCATAGTAAAGACAATGTTAGTACAACTGCAAATTCCTCTCCACGTCACTACAAGTCAGTGTATAGTTATCGTAGTATTTTTAGTTCAAGTGATAGCATTAGAACTTCTTCAAGTAGTCTCAAAAATCTTTCGTCGATCTCATCTCCAAACAAAAACTGTTGCCGTTTAGCTTTAAGCAACTTAAATTTAGCGGACAGATCATTAGAGATAGATGAGTTGCCTTCATACAAGCAGCATCATTTGACGTATTTGAGTGATGCTTCGAACAGAGCTGCAAGAGGCTTGCGAAGTCACCGTAGAGCTCAGCGTGCGTCCAGAACGCTGACTGAAAGTAATTTGGAAGGGCTGTCTCTTTTTGCCTGCAATCAACGCACGTGTGCTGCTGAAAACGAGTCCCGAGAAGCTTCTCTTCATTCAACTGGTACAGAATCTTTGAATATTTTGGCCGTTAATAAACAAGCGAATGAAAGTGATTCGCCAGGATTCAGTCGTTCTTTGCTTCACGACGCTCAGGAATCTCATAACAAGACTGAGAGATGTCGAAACTCGTCTGAAAATCATTCTGTGGACGGCCGTCAGTCTCTGAATGTTGGCATTGCTTCTGTTTCTACTGGATTGAGACTTGATGAGGCTGTAAAATGTCCTCATAAGAATGAATCTTTTAGAAACAATCAACATAGCGCTAGTAATAGTTCCTTCGTTAAGAGCTCTCATTGTCTCCCCAGCGCCTGCAAAGATCAAGTTCACATAAATGGTTGTGGAGTTTGCCAGGATTTAGAACAACCTCCTTCTGAGTCCAAGGTCATCTTACAGAATCCTCAGTCATCGGTCGGTGACGCCAGTGTTTGCAGACACTCGGCCAAACTATTGTATAACACTGCAAAATTTCAGAAGCCAACTTCTCATGCACATTATTAGCTACAAACATGTTCATGATAACTCGTATAAACCTTTACATAAATAAAAATGTTCCGTAATTCTTTTGGATAACCTGAATTTTGTCACTGTACTTATTACTCTTTGCTGTGATTCATTTCATGCATCGCTCTCCTGAGGTATCCCGGTGGATAACATAAAAGTCGCCATTTATGTATTAAAATTATCTGTTTATAAAACTGTTCTTATTTATCTGCTTCTGATGAATTTTTCGTGCATTTCAAGTGGATTTCAGCCGTTTTTGCTCAATGTATACAAATTTTGAAATGTTTCTTCAAAATTTTCTTGCTATTCATAGTTTTCTGTATTAATGGCAGAGTTTTTATTAAATATCCTTGACATCTGAATACCCGACCAACACCAGGAACCGGGGTACAAATGTTACTATCACAATGATATTTTTTCGTCATTTGCCATTGTAGAGCAGTTAATGAATTTAAGTTCATGCCGTTTGTTTGACCTTTATTTTTGTAAAGTAGTAAATTGTTAGTTTGATATTATAATAGCAATCCTAAGAAATTACAACTTTAATTAAGAGTTTGAATGTAATTTTATATTATATATCGTTTGCTCGACGCAAGCGGAGACTCTCTGTACTGTTTCTATAACTGCAATTTAACTTATTTACACAATATATTCATATGTAAATCATTATAAGACATAATTTTTAGTAACCCTGAAGGTGCACACGTGTTAGCGTGGTATAATGAACTATACATTCCATTTTTTATAAGAATTTCATTCCAATTTTTGACCGTCGTAAACTTGATTTTGTCGAACTCTCTTACGGTTTAATTTGCATTAAAAGACTTGCCTGCTCATTAGCGCGTACTTAGATAACTTCGTTTCCATTTTCATCGCCTTACATATATATATATATGAAATGATTTTTTACCAAAGTCACATTTTCTCGTTTTAGTAATATTTCAAAAATTCTACGAGAAGAGTTGTCTCTAAAACAGGAAAAATTTTACCCGTTTCGGCAAAAAAGTCTGTTTTTATGACGAAAATAAACTTTTTGACGGAGTTTTTAATGATAAAAACTTGGTGCTGTGAGTGTATGTTCTGACGTCACTTTATGTATAATTCGTTATAAATTTGCTTATTTCGTGGTCATAATAACTAAAAGGTGAACCTTCCTCAAAACACGAAATGTTTTTTATTACAATTGCTATGTGTCCGCTTAAGCACACTTAGCGGCAGATTCGTTGTCTATGATCGGTGGATTCGCTTAAAAAGCCTTTAATGACTGGCCGACGAAGTTACGAAAATCGGAGCTGCAGGTTTTGCCAAATAAAATTGTGCCGCTCTAAGCATCTCGCAATATTTTTTCATGGCTGTAGCCTGGTTTTTGTGATTTTTTCGGGCGCCGTACTATCACAACTGCTTCAAGTACACTCAGCGTCTTATTTAGATATAGCGTCCGATTTATCGTTCGTAATTGGTGATTTAAGCTTGAAAAGCCGTTTTTGATTCGAGGACGGACATACGAACTCGTAACTATTTTTGATGTTATGGCCCCTGGTCTGTGCACGCCTAGTTCCCAAATTACAAATTTAATTGTGATGCTCTAAAGCTCCTGACATTGGCTAGCTTCCATACAATTTCATTCGGTGTGTTGACGTGGTTGATATTATTTCTTCATTATCTTCAAGTCAACTCTGCCACGATGTCTCCGCAGATTATAGCTTTTGTGTCTACATCTCGTAATGGCATTACTGGTGACGTACTCTGTACCATACTTACTCGTGGAAACGGTCACTAAATGAACTAAAAATCAAAAGGCTTTACATTGAATAATGTTATACTTCATAGTCATTTGAACAACGAAATAGTATATAATCTTACATTGAACTTCTTCTTTTTCCACGTATAACCTGGCTCTTCAGATGCGTGGTAGTTTTTAAATCTTCTCCCTTTTGTATAATGTTATTTTACTGTTGAATGCATGCTTGATCATGTATTTTCCATCTTCTCTTATAATGTAACTTGATCGCTTTAGTAATTATTAGGTTATCACGAATCAAGTTTCATTATTACTCTTCCAATGAGTTCTTATTTCATTGGTTCATGTTTGACCTTAGGTTACTTTTCACTTTAGTTTCAGAACGTTTAATACTAAAAATATTAGTGCCCATACTTGGTTGGTATTTCATCCTTCTGTCTTCTGGAAATAATGTCTTGTGAAAAGACGTCTCTATCTATTAAGTTTGTTATACCATTTTTTTTCATTTGTGGAAGTGAAATTTAATTGAATGTAGTGGAATTTATGTTACCATTAATATCTACCTGAGTCAGGGGCCAATAAAGGCGATGACAGTTGAGACTGAAAAACAAATCCTGTTGTTGCGATGTCGGCTCATAGCTGAAGCTCCATTGTACGTTCAATACCGTAGAACTTGTAATTTTTAAATCTTGTTCACGTTTCGTACATGTTATGTGAAGTTACTAGTGGCGTTAAAAAATATCTGAGCATTACTGACTAGGCGCTTCTGTGTCACATGTGTTAGTAAATATCAGTATTTTCGTTGACCACGCTATTGTTAGTAAATATCAATATTTTTGTTGACCACGCTATATAAACCTCAACTGCCACGATATTAAGACTTCATTAATGCACTTACATTATTTTCTTCAAAATTTTACTTTTAAATCTGCAATTGAATCTTGAAAAATATCTCAAAGGAAAAGAATATTGACACTGTTGTGCTTTTTCACGTTCGCATTTCCATGTAATAAACTTTATGATCGGCTGCGATTGGCGGTTGTGCTAGCACGTCAACCAATCAGAGCGCTGCATCGCAGTTGCGTTTATCCTCACTTTATCCCCACGGTTTGTCCCCAATTTCGATGTTTAAACGGCTTTATCTTATCAAGCAGCATATACAAATAATAAACAATACTAAAATATAATTAATCAGATATGAAGAACAGATCTCAGTTTTTTTACTTCCGCAGACAAGCCTGTGATCGTTAACTTTCTATGGAGGTTATTTAAAATGAAGTCGTTTTGACTATGGTTTATGACGCTTGATACGTGATGCAATTTATTAATGACTCACGATGCCATCTTTGACTGTTTGATGTAGATTCACATTCAAATGAATACTCCCGCTCTAAAAGCTGTTTTGAAAATATACGTACGTACGTGTGTTAAAATTTTAAGTTAAATTCAACATTTTTTAATAATCTCGCGACAAATATAGATTTATGCTTTCAGACCAAAATGACACTACATGTATTTTAAAGTGTAAGCTATTCTTCAAAGAGGCTGATCTGGCACTCGAGTCCTTGCCTGACTTGCTGTGTTGAGTATTTTACTCTGTGTTGTATTAAGTCGTAAGTTATATCAAGTACAACGTATAGATGCGCCGCTTTTATTATCCCCCGCATGAATTTATTTACAGATAAAAACTAAATAGAAACTGAAAAAGCTTAACACATTTTTGGTCGAACTGAAACATAACGCTTCATTGCGCTCAGATTAGGTATATTTCCGCTTTCAGGTATTTTAATGGGTTTTCTTCCACGTTTAACACATTGACTCCGATCATGCGCAACTCTGACTTATCGTCACTATCCGCACTATGCTCCCTCAACTGCACTTCCTTCTATTGTTTCCTTTATCTAGGTATATTTCATATATCTTCCTAGTTCTAAGTTTCACTTTATTTACCACATAATACCAGCCGTATGCTCCACCGGCCCACATCCTCCCAGTCGATAGCTCAACCTGCCAACGCACAGTAGTAGATACCACCTGCGCACATTCTTTCTAGTGAGTTTTTTACCTGCCTATATCACTACAGGCATTTGCCCGCATCATGTAAATCATTTACTAATCCTGCCAACATGTTCCCAATCGTCGGCTCCACCTGCTCACTCCCTCCTAGTCGTAAATTCCACCTGACGCCTTCCTTCCAGCTGTGTATTCCACCCGACACCTTCCTCCCTGCTGTATATTATACCCGGCATCTTCTTATCAGCCGTGTATTCCACCCGACACCTTCCTCCCAGCTGTATATTCCACCCGACACCCTCCCAGCTGTGTATTCCACCTGACACATCCTCCAAGCAGTGTACTCCACCTACCCACTTCCTGCCAGCCCTAGATTCCACTCGACACCTTCCACCCAGCTGCACATTCCACCTGCCCAGCACCGCTCTGTCGTAGCCCGGTTGCACGGAAGACGTGTTTTTTGCTCTTCCTCGCACTCCTCACATCCGGCCGAGATTTCATTTTACCTGCCTATATCACTACAGGCATTTGCCCGCATCATGTAAATCATTTACTAATCCTGCCAACATGTTCCCAATCGTCGGCTCCACCTGCTCACTCCCTCCTAGTCGTAAATTCCACCTGACGCCTTCCTTCCAGCTGTGTATTCCACCCGACACCTTCCTCCCTGCTGTATATTATACCCGGCATCTTCTTATCAGCCGTGTATTCCACCCGACACCTTCCTCCCAGCTGTATATTCCACCCGACACCCTCCCAGCTGTGTATTCCACCTGACACATCCTCCAAGCAGTGTACTCCACCTACCCACTTCCTGCCAGCCCTAGATTCCACTCGACACCTTCCACCCAGCTGCACATTCCACCTGCCCAGCACCGCTCTGCCGTAGCCCGGTTGCACGGAAGACGTGTTTTTTGCTCTTCCTCGCACTCCTCACATCCGGCCGAGATTTCTGACGAGGGCGTGTCCGGGAAGTCGCCTCCGCTACGACGCTTGAGCGAGCGCCACAACTCGCACCTTCGCTGCCCTCAATGCGAATGTATTCACTCCTTGTTTGATGCAATGCGTCTAATTTTGTTTGAGAATTTTTTTTATAGAAGATCGTTTATCGTAACTTTGAAATCAGTTTGTTCTTATGTTCATATTCAACGTCATGTTGCTATTGAAATCGGTATTCTTTGCAGCTACGTAAACGTTATCGGCAACGATCACTGTAACGACAGCGATTCTTGGTGTGGAACCAAAATTTTCGACTCAAAAACTTCTGAAAGAATGTGTTTAGCATGTTCAACTATTTTATTAATTTGTATTGGGGAATTTCTAATTTTCGCTTGGTAATTTTTCTCGCTTGCTTTCAGGCTACTTGGGGGCTGAGCGCGAGATATTATTAAGAGTTTTTTATTGATGAATTCATTCCTTGGTTTCCTTGAAAATATCTGCTACTCAATGCAGCAACAACGCTTTGCCATCTCAAATCAGTTTTTTTTAAAGTTTACGTTCATTCATAACTTTTTATCCGTTAATAATTGGCAAAATACACACAAAGACCGTAATAAAACCACTTGGTCTTTAAAGCACATAAAGCAAGAATCATCCAATACTTGACCTCCTCATTTCTTTCATCGACGACATTAGCACGTGAATGACTAGTCATTGGTAATCTTGACAACCGTTCAA